CATCAAATGATGATCGATATTTGAGGTGCCTCAGTTGTCAACTGAGGCGATCGACATCTGAGGCACAACATATATATTTTTTAAACCTTAAATATTTATTTTACTAATATAGAACTTTTGCAATAAAAATAAGAAAACTACCAGAAAAATCAAAAATAAGTTAATGTTAAATTTGAATATATTTTAGCCTAAAATCATATTTGCTATATAAAAGTAAAATTAATTTTTCCAGCAATTTTCCTCTTTTCTGTTGCAAAGATCCTATATTATTTAAATTTAAAATATATTTTTTTTTAAATTTAAAATTATTATAATAAATACTTATTTTTTAAGTAATTATTTTTTAATAGTTTTTATATGGATATAAATATATATTTATTATATAAAATAGTACAAATATAATATATAACTATTTAAAAATAAGAGTATGTAAAAATCTGAAATTTTTTTTTTTTTGAAATATATTAAACTATTAAAATTATGATAATATTAAAGTTATACTATATAAGAAAATCCTATTACAAAGATTTTTGTAAAATTAATAACTAATGTAACCAAACAAACGCCGCGGTTTAACGCCACACTAGTTTTCCCTTAAAAAGAAGTTTTTTTTGAGCCGCAATAATGTGGCATATCTTCTTTGTCAAATTTGGAAAATACTAAAAGGTATTGTTGGCAAATCTATATTATTAATTATTAACCAGGTTTTAATTTTAATGATTCTCCATACCATAGAAATTTTTGTCGCGTAAATTAACGCGTTTACGATCAATTCGGATTAAACAAGTATTTTAAACAGGTTTATTTTCCATTCGAAATTATCTTTGTCAATGTAAGCATTGATATTGCTAAATTAAAAAAATCAATGGATAAATCATTATTTGGATTTAGGAATATCTATACTCTATTGCTTTTGTACTCATTTTCGTGAATTACATGTGAAATGCAACTTTTACAAGATAAAAAAAAAAAATTTTTCCCTTGATAAACCTTTCTTAGGTATTTTCGATTTTTTAAAAAAAATTTATTAGTTTCCTTTTGGAATAGCGTGATTTTGTTTGTATTAGATAAATTTATTTAAAATAATATAAACCGACCAAAATTTTTGTTAAATTAATTAACAATACATAAATAAAACTTCCCCCCCAAAAAAAAAAATTTTAAAAAAAAAATAAAATGGAATCAGATAAAACAACGTTTCCACCACATCATTATAGGGCCTTATCAAATGAAGAATATACGAAAACGGAACGACCAAAGTTGCATAAAAGAAGACTATCATCATATGATAGGAATGATTATAAAAGAGAAATGTATCATAGAACTTATCGCCATTCAGAATCATCCATTAAGCCGGACGATAAAGACACTACTTCTACCACCATTACCAATACCGCTACTATTCTTTCCAATATTATCACATTAGATAATAATGTTGGATTTTCTAGCCAACTTTCTCCTATTGAAGGTGGTGTTGTTTATAATGTTAATATACATGAAACTAGCGGAAAAGAAATTACCGACAAGTTCTTATCCAAAGATTGGAATACTCCCGTTGCTGCTAAAGGAGATAAAGAAGAATAAAAATCGATGAACGAGGAATTGTAGTTGGCTGGTAGTTCATTCATATAATGGCTTATTATATATATACATATATATATATATGTTGCGCTCTGTATATATTATATTTCCTTCCTTTATTTTATTTTATTTTTTGTTTTTGTTTTTGTTTTGGATTTCAATAAATTCATACTCTTCATGAGAACATTCTTTCAATTTAGCTTTACTCCTTTTAAATACTTTCGAGGGGGGGGGGGGGGGGGGGGGGGGGGGGGGGGGGGGGGGGGGGGGGGGGGGGGGGGGGGGGGGGGGGGGGGGGGGGG